GAATGCCTAGCCAGGGGCCTCCCTGCCAGGCACTATCTTTTCTCTGCAGACACTGGTCTCCCCATGTCAGGATCCCCTTGCTTCAGCCTCCCTGCTAGGATTTCAGGCTGGCACCACCACACCCAGCTCTTTTCCAGGCAGGGCCTCACTAGGATGCTCGGGCCACCCTTCTCCCTGAGCCTCCCCAGGTCAGTGGGATTCCAGGCCCGTGCCACTGTGCATGGTCTGTCAGTTGGACTGGGAATCGAACTGGGGAAGCATATGGTCCCAGCTTGCAGAGTCTTAGCAGTGCACACCACCGCAATGCACACCACCACAGCAGGTCAGCTAAACCCCAGGGCCCTGCTGGGGACTGCACATCCTTGCCGGGGCTGTGTGCTCCTGCTGTCTGGGGGAATCCATCCTCCTCTTCCTCCCCTGCCCACCCCTAGACAGAGCGGCACTATGAATCCACTAGGCTGACTTCCCAGCCTGACCCCTCAAATGCTGGGGCGTCTGCCCAGGACGTGTGCTCCTGTGGTACAGCGGAGCTCAGGGGAGGGGCTACCATGGGGACCGGGTGCAGGCATGGCCACTGACCAGGGCTCCCGGCAACCAGGGCACTCACGTCTTGTCCTTGAATTCGAACTGGAAGAGGTTGTTGGTTATCTTGGCTCCGCTCTGCCCTGAGAACACAAACATCTTGTCCCGGCACACGGCCACGGGGAAGTTGCAGCAAGACGGGGGGATCTCGCCACTCTGGGCCACCTGGGGCGGGGGCGGGGAGAGAGGGAAGCTCAGAGGAGCCCTGGCATGACCTGGGCTCACACTTCCACACACTTAGACTGAAGAGTTGGGATTCATTCTTGACACTTCTGTGGATAAGGGTTGACAGATTAAGTGGTTTTTTAGAATTATTTATTTTACTTGTTATTATTATTATTATTTAACCAGAGAGTAAGAGAAAGGGAAAGTGAGAAAGCAAGCTGCCAGGTGCAGGACTCGAACCGTAGTTGGCCATGTGGGAGTCTAGCACCTTAACTACTGCACCACCTGCTGGCCCCGACAGATGAATTTTTCCAGACAGCTTATAAGTTTTTCCAGGGGAATCAAAGCCCACGGGGAACCAGGTGAGCAGGGCTAGACAGTCTAGCATGCTGCCCTCGCTGTGTTCAAGTGAGGGCGGCCGAGGCCCAAATCACATTCATCCTGAGCGGCTCTGTCCACCCAGACCACGGAGTCTCTGGAACCCGCCGCTGGCACTGGTTGTGCTGACTGGGCTGGTCGGGGAGGAGGGAGGCTGGGGTCGAGGTTGAGCTTTGGCAAAGCAGAGAAAGCACCCTCTGCCCCGACCCTGCACTGACTCCCGGAGTCCCCGCCGACACCCCAATCCCCGGCACCCCTCACCTCCTCCCAGCACGTGAGCTCCCGGTCCTGGAGGCCAATCGTCCACATGTCATTCAACCTGCATTGGGACAGAGGGGCCAGAGCTTGGGGCTGCTGCACGGACGCCCGCTGGGAGAGGCATGCCACCCGCCTGCACGGGGAGGAGTGTCCTCATGCATGACAGCTGGGTGGTGTGGCAGGGCCAGGCCCCACTCGGCGGTCCCCTGTGCGGGCCGTGGCGACCGCAGGTCCCATAGGAGGCTCTGCACCACCAGGAGCTTCTGCGGTGCTGGGGGTGGGCCTGAGCACATGCTGCTTTAGCTGTTGGGACACGGAAAGTGGATTTTCTAAAAGGAGGAGGAAAACGCTCCTGACGCAGCCTGCCCACAGGCATGGCCCTCAGGTGACTCCTCGCCTTGGCACCCCTTCCAAGCAATCCAAGGGGCCGTGGGCTGGGAGAGGCGGCTCTGCTCGGTGGCCCTCACCTCCATCTGCCCATCTTCTTCCCAAGAGACCCTTAGAGCAGGCTGACTCTTTTGGCCAGAGCCCTCAAATTCCAGGAAGGCACGCTGTGTACCTGAGAGCACGGAGGCAGGGGCACGGCAGGCCCCACCTACCTGGCGTTGCCATCATAGCCGGCGAAGATCCACAGCTTGTCACTGTACACCGTGGCTCCGTGGGCTGACCTGGCGACCGGCAATCTGGCGGGGGAGGGAGAAGTCGAAGAGTGAAGCCACGCAGTGCAAAACCGAGCCTCGGAGCCATATGCCACTGGGGCCGGGGCCACCTCTGGGCTGCCACGGCCACATGTGCCTGAAGCTGGCTCCGAGGGCCTGTGCGGAGCAGGATGAGGAAGTCAGACACCCACACCGCACCTCTCCTAGGCGCCAGTGTGCACTTGGGGCTCTTCTGAAAGGCACCAGCCAAAAGCTGGAACAGGCCGGGGACAGCTGTGGGGGAGTAGCCACTGTCAGTCCCCCCGACAACCCCGCCTCGGGTCCTCAGCTGTAATGCAGCAGCAGGGGACAGACCCAGGACCCAGCCCGTTCCTAAAGGTCTCCGCAGTCTCTCACCGTCCTTCGATCTTCCACTCCGTCCACTGGCCAGTTGCAAACTTGTATTCAAACAGGTCATTTTTATTCTTCAAGTTAGAATTGGAATAAATGTCCCCAGTGTAGCCCCCTAGGTAAAGAGAATGAGAAAGCATCACACCCAGAGGCAGTATTTAAGTCTTCGAGCCCTGGGAGGTAGGGCTTCTGCCCCCATGGAAATCACACAGACCCCCAAAGTGCCTCCTGCCTGCCTGCCTCTGACACAGATGGGTGGGATGCTGGTCCCTGCAGTCCAGCGCAGAGGTGGATGGCCCGCTTCTCTGAGCTCAGGAAGGCTGGGAAAAGGGACCGGGTCTGGCACTGATATTCAGAGTTCTCCAGCCAAGCACACGTGAGCCTGAGACCTGGCGGAGGGCAAGCATCGAGGGGCCTGAGAGGCCAGAGGCTGCTTACCAAAGACGAACATGCTACTCCCATAGACGACAGCCGAGTGGTGATAGCGGGGTGCTGGCGGGGTCCCAGTGGTGAAGGCCCTGGGTGGGCAAAGAGGTGGAGTTTGTGAGGCTCAGCCATGTGACCCATGCCCTACAGGCTGGCCCCCTGCCACCTCCGTGCCTCCTTTTATTTTGTATTTGGAGGGTGATACTTGTTTCGTTATAGAAACTTTTTTTAAAAATTATTTTATTTCACTTTATTTATTTATTTATTTTAATTTGACCAGAGAGGAATAGAGGGAAAGTGAGAAAACAAGCCGCCAAGCTCAGGACTCGAACCTCAGTCGGCCACGTTGGGAGTCCAGCGCCCTTAACCAGCATGCCACCTGCCAGACCCCATTATAGAGACATTTAAAATCACCAGTTAGGTGACTTTAAATAGAACAAGTAGGCACCAGAAATGAATAAATGGGCACTGGAACTCAGAGAACCCCTTGCCAGATGGGATCCAGTGCCTTAGCCACCATGCCACTGCAGGCCCAATTCAGAGTGATTGCTAAAAATCAATTTGTGGAGCTGGCAGGTGGTATGGTGGTTAAGGGCACTGGATTCCCACATGGCTGACTGCAGTTCAAGTCCTAGACCTGGCAGCTTGCTTTCTCACTTTCCCTCTCTCTCTCACTCTGTCCCTCTCTGGTCAAATTAAAATAAATAAATAAAGATAAATAAAATATTTATTTAAAAAATCTGTTTGTAACCTCTAGCTCTATTATAAAACCTAGTGGATCAGTTAGCAGCCTGGCCACGGAGGCAGCCGGATTCCACGTGGGCGACTGCAGTCTGAACGCCAGACACAACAGCTTAAGAACCATGCCAGGGGGCCAGGAGGTGGGGTGGTGGTTCAGGCGCTGAATTCCCACATGGACAACCACAGCTTGAGTCCCAGACCTAGTAGCTTGAAAATCACCCCAGGCACATGTGCGTTCGTGCCCAAAATCCCAGGAGAATGAAGAAGGAATTGCAGTGTGGCTATCCCCTCTGGGGGTGATTTCTCTCACGTTCGCTCTCTCTGGCGAGCGTACATGCCCGATAGCAAAAACTAAAACTAAAACTAATTAAACATGCCAGGTGTGTGTGCAGGGGTGCCCAAAATCTCAAGAGGAGAATGGAGGAGAAGGGACTGTGGTGTGGCCAGCCCCGCTGGGGGCTACTTTTTCACTTCCCTCAACCCATCTCCCTTCAGCTATAGCAAAAATTTTTAAATAAATAAATAGGGGTCAGCAGATGGCATAGTGGTTACATCGCTGGACTCCCACATGGCCAATCATGGCTCAAGTCCCGGACCCAGTGGCTTGAATCACACTGGGTGCATGTGCACATGTCCCTAAGATCCTGGGAGGAGAATGGAGAGAATGGAGAAGGGATTGTGGCACGGCCATCCTCGGGGGGTGGGGGGTGGTGATTTCTCACTTTTCCTCTCACTGTCTGTCTCTCTCCGGCAAGCACACGCACCCTAGGGCAAAAATATCTTAAATACATATACACACACACACACACTCTTTTTTTTTTTTTTGGACTCTTTTTTGAGAGGTTTTCATTGTAGGGCGCGTTCGCTCA